CTGATAAATCCCCGACTACTTCACTACTCACGCTTTGCAGACCCTGCAGCCTACTTCTTTGCCTGAGAGCGTGTTCGATCTGTCAGGCACAGCCTCCATGCCCACATACTGCGCAGCAATCAGGACCTGATTGGGGAGAGGGCGACTCAGTCATGTCTCTTATGGCTTTCACCGCCGACGAACTCGATTCCGCACCGGTTCAACGATGTATGCAATACTTTAGAGCCATCCATCCGACGGCCTGATGCAGGCCATTTCAAGCGGCCTTCTTGGTCTTGTAATCGCTTGCTGCGGCATAGAGTTTCAGCGGCATGCTGCCCGGTGCCGGGTCCTCGCTCGCACGGAGACAGAAGGTCGATCGATGCACATGAAAAGGCGACTGCTCCCAGTTCCACTCTCATGCTCGCGATCTTCCGGAAGCTAGCAAAGTTGCTTAGCGGCTTAGCAAAGCCACCACGCCTCCAGGTCCCGCTTGAGCTGCAAAATTGCTGGAGCCCGCAAACAGCTGGCGGTCAGACGGGCATGTGTTCGAGCTCCTAGACGTTCACGGTTCAAGACTTCAGGCTCCAGGCACGCCACGAGGCTTCTTGGGGGCCCCAAGCTCCATGCAGCAGCGAAAGTCGAGACCAGCTAAACATCGGGGATGCAATTTGCAGTTTTCCCGCCAGTCACGTCAAGCGAGTCTCAGCTGAGACACCGATAAAGCGGCCTCTTGGGCGGGGCTTGGAAAAAGGAGGCCAGCAAGGCTCAGAGCAGCTTCCAGACATCACCCACATCGCCTCAGCAGCTCACCGGCTCACCTGTACCCCCCTGTCACAACAAAAGTGCCGAAAGAACACTGAGCAATTCGCCGTAGGAGTCGCTGGCATCTCTGCGTTCCGGCTTGGAGCTGCCCGAGCCTTTGCCCTGGGTTGTAGCGTCAGCCCGGCTTCCCTGGGCTTTGCCGGCCTTACCGGCCTTACCCTTTCCCTTCTCATGGCCTTTCTCTCTGCCCTTCTCATGGCCTTTCTCAGCCTTCACGTGTCTTTCCTGCTCACCCTGGGTCGCCTTCTCGGCACCCTTAACCACTGCGCCTTTATCTCTTCCCTTCTCTTTGCTCTTATCCTTTCCCTTCTCTTTCCCCTTCTCTCCACCTTTCTCCGAACCCTTCTCCTTGCCTTTCGATTTTCCCTTTTCGGGTACATGATCCTGGCCTTTCTCGTGTCCCTTCTCCTTGCGTGGCTGCAGAAGCGATTCCAGAGCAGAGCGCCTACCCGGCATCACTGAAGCACACTGCAGACTACAGGCTTTTGCTGGCCTTGCCCTTGACAGCTTTGCCTTTGCCCTTCCCGATTGTCCGGCTTGTGTCCGTCGTCCAACTATCGTCAGCACCTGCAAAGCGTCAACATTTCGAAAGTAAACGATGTACATGACTGGATCTTCGAGATCGGAAGCTGGGAGTTCAGATCGTCGGGCTAGCATTTCGACTAACTGGCTGTCCAGTGGTTTTTGGAAGCACTCTCGCCACCCACACCCGCTCGCTCCCCTCCGCCTTCGCTGGCTGTCACAACCCGGGGCCAAGCACTGAAAGCCGTGGCTGGCGGCCTCTGGCAAGAGCTGAGACTGAAGCTTTGCAGAAGAAAGAATGCGGTCGCACGGAACCAGGCTCCGGCTGTTTCATGGCTCCGAGGAGTTCTTAGCGCCAGGCTTCGACTTCGGCTTCGGCTTGGGTGATGCTGGCTTCGCCACCGGCTTCGCGGCTGCCTTCGGGACCTGCAGGACACTGCGATTGCACTCTCTTGCTGGCAAGACGTCTGCATACATTTCTCGTAGATACACAGTTGGCTGCATGACTACGAGGTCTATGCGACCGTAGTGTTGCTTCGAATCGAACGGGAGCCAACTAGGCCTCTGTGGTTCGGAACTTGTGTCAAGCCCTTAAGCCCTTTCGTTTCGGAGGCACGCTCTGTAGCAGACCTCAGATCTTACATTCGGAAAGCCCGGTATGCAGCAGTGCTCGCCTGCTGAGGCCGCCGTGCTGCCCCTGCCACTGACACCACCCTGCGAAGATGCGGTGGCTCGGGGTCGTGCCATTCGGGGAAATTCGGGAGTGAAACGCCCCGGGGGAATCGTTTGGGCTGCCGGACATCTTGTTTTGAGGAGACCCAACACACGACAAGCGTCTGCAATAGAAAAGTGAGATGCAATGGAATGTGGTTGGACGGTCATCTGAGAAGTATCTTGAGGCCTAGGAGTAGGCCCCGTGCCTGGCCATCAGATTCACCGTCTCTGCAGTCCGCGAAGCCCGTGGCGCAGTTGCAGCACCTGCGCTTCATCGAAGACAATGCCGGAAGAGCCACCGCACCCCCGCTCTCTTGGAAATGCGAAAGCCACACGCTTCTTTTCCGGCTCCTGCATCGGCTTGGGAAACGGCAACCTTCGAATTTGACCAAAAATCCCAAACCTGAACAGCACAGCTCTTTTTCTCTGCCAGGCTCTGAGTCGTCGTCTGCCCTGTACCAGAGGAATGCCAAGCTCGGCAGCTCGGGCTCGGTTTAGGGTTTAGGGTCGAAGCGCTGCGACTTTGCCAGCGCATGGCCGACAGGCTCCTGGACGTGGCGGAACGCGCTCGCAGTCCGTGCACCATCGGATCTTGGGCCGCTGTCCATGCCTCCGATGACGGAGGGCTTGTCCGCAAGTTCCACGATGCTTCCCTTTCCTCAACCCAGGCTCCGACATCCACTCCAGAACCCCGAATTCCCTCACAGCTTCAATGCTCAAAACGAGAACGTCAAGCCGCCTCACAGGCTAGGTTCGATGCATCGTCGTCACTGAAACTATCCCCATGACTCCGGCCTTCGCTCATTCCGTCTTGCCTTGTTCTGCCGACCGCTGCTGCTCGCCAGAGCGCCTCGGACAGGAAAATGCAGAGGGGAAAGAACGTAGCCCCCGCTTAATTGGATATCTCCTGCTTCAGCCGAGTCTCTCCCACTGCTCTATCCGGCTGATGGCCGTGAGGCAGCAACAGACAAAGGTGCCGAAGAACAACAGAACCGTGCAAAAGGCCGCCAGCCCGTTGAAGACCTGCACAGTCTGACACGGCAGGGAGGAAGTCGGCACCTCCATCTACGCAGTTGGCCAAGCAGTAAGATGCCCATACCATGCCATGCCATGCCATGCCGTGCTGTGCTGTGCCGTGCCGTGCCGCCCTGCAATGCCAGACCCGACCAGACCACGCAAGACCAGAACATACCATCCCTACACAGTCCCTTCCCGTAATATTCCTTCCCCCTAATATTAAACGGCCCGCCCCCAATAGAAACTGGATTGCATACATACATGGGTGCATGCTGGCACACGCTTTTCTACCGTGTGCTCTTGCACTCTTTTTGGTCAAATCAACAGGTACACTGGCTGGCCAGACAACATCACTTCGCCAGCTGTAACTGTGGGCCAAGCAGCATAGTAGACCTTGGGGTTACAGATTGTTGTTCGAGCAGACATGAAGAGTGCAACGATTGAACAGGCTTGACCTTTCTGAATGAGGTCGGGTGACATTCGTCCAGAAGTCTGCAGGTGCTTCCAGAGGATTCTGCGCGATGACTTCGGCATGCGTCGGCATGACTTGAAGGAGTGGAGTCTAGTGAGTCTAGTTTGAGGCAGGGGGGTTTAGCGGCTAGGCTGATGGCTCATGGGCTTTCGGGTTGGGCATAAACACCACACGGTGGCGGGTGACGAGCTTTGGTGGGTGGGTGCCCAGAGGCTCTTGCTGGTTGAGGTGGGGCGACAAGCATCAGCAGCTGCCGGACACGGCGAGTTCACTGCTACATGGTCGAATGTCAAGACATACCACAATCACCTAGCTGGCAGGTGACGGGTGTCTCTACAAACGGAGATGGGAACGAGGGTCAGAGGACTCTTTGCGTTTTTGTCACTTTGACACCAACCCAATGCAGGGCAAGGGAAAACCTCGATGCAAGAATCTGTGCGTCGCATACGGGAAAAATTAAAAACCATCAGAGACTCGCTGGATTTGCAGATGTCAGCAGTCATCCAGTGCCGGTCAACGATGCTCTATAATGTTCCGTAGCTTCCGTCTCTTATGATTGAAAACACTCGAATTAAAACATACTATTGCCAGGACTAATGTACCGCCGCTACTGGCGTTGTCATGATGGCTGACATGGGTGTCGTATACTGACCATGGGCATTGCGATCTGAATCTGACCTGTCCTTTCCATAGCTATAGTCACTATAACCGTTGTTTCCGCTGTTGCTTCTTTGTTGCGATTCGCAGAGCCAATATGGAAACTGTTGCTGATGTGGCTGCTACTCCTACTATCCGAGAAGTTACTATCCTCAAGAGCGAATCTTACATCATTCTGATAAGCGCTACGATTGTGGTTCTCACTGTTGTGCAGTATTGCATGCCGGACACTGACCAGAAGACTCAGGCTTGACCTGAAGACTTTGACAAATCCACCGGCGCAATCGGGAGCCGCGCTCCTTGAGACATTCTGGCACCATCTCCCCTCTCAGCAGAGGTGGCTGTCGGTCCGGGCTTTAGTACTGTGGGAACCACGAAGAGCACATAGTTGTGAAGCAAAGTCTCGTTGATACTTCCTCGTTGATACTTCCTGGGGCCACTTTGCCAGGAGCAAGGATCTCTCGCGTGTAGCCACCTATCGAAACTTCATCACTACTTGGTGGCCTCTCAAAATCTGAAGGGACAGCCAACCGTAGGCTCCGTAGGCAAAAAGAACCTTCAAACTACTCCTTGATTTTGAGAAGCCCCGCTTTGCTCTCGCTAAAGAGGCTTGTCAAAAAGGCCCTGCAGGGCAGTAAGCTGGCACGCGGTTTGTGAGAGTCTCGGAGCGCCCGAGACCGAGAGGTCATGCCAACTCAGAGATGTAGGTGATGTCCTGATTGGATTTCCGTACAAGCTAGGTGCTACACGAACACGTCCTGCCGGTAGAAACCGAAGAGCTGCCCTAAGCCTAAACCCTAAAACCTAAAAGCCGTCATCCACGGCAAGGATTGAAAAGGCAAGTTGCATCCCAGGGGTGCCGGTAGAGCGGCTGCTTCAGCCTGCCAGGGCTCGGGAGCAGCTGCCCTCGGGCGGTCACTGCAGGCATCCCTACACCCACCTCAACTGATCCAGGTGGTGGCCGATGAAGCCTCAGTCAAGCAATGCTTAGGCAGACTCATCCCATGGCCTGCCAACATAAGTCGAAGCTTTGTCTGGTCGGGTGGAGAAGGCCACAGGACTGTGAAGTTTTGGGGATGTCTACATCTCAAACTCATGTCGCTGCCGAACCATCTGCAGCCGCATCGCCCATGGAACGACCGAGTACAAAGAGGCCGTTGAGGCAGCCGAAGGCCATCAGCTCATCTGCCTTGATCCAACTCGACGCGTCATGTGCACTGGTGCACTGCAGGCATCCACAGCCCCAACCTGTTTCCACTCCCTCCCATACGGGTCGCCTCTTCTCTTGAGAAGGCTCCACAGGAGCGCAGCATGTCAGTGAAGCATACCTTAAGGGCTGCGACGGATGACTCCGCCGCGAACGCAAAAAGCCCATTCTCTGCCGGAAGCCAAAAATGCTGGCAGGGCGCAGCGATGCAGCCATCCACATTCAGGATCAGGTTGGCTCGCTTCCTTGCACGCAGAGGTCACAAGGCGCAAGAAGCCGCGCACAGCGAAACCGGGGTCCTTGTGGTGATCTGCTCTACCGCCAGGGCAAAGTCCTGCAAGCCAGGCTCTTTGTGCTCTCGCAGACTGCAGGGCCCCAGGGACCGCCGACACACGTCGCATGCCTGAGATCCCACAAAAAATCTAGGCAGGCCGGTCCAGTATGCTGTTGTCTTTGAAAAACTTCTTGGCGAAGTCTTTGATGATGACGACCTCATGAGCGAAGCTGGCGGCAGCTTCGTGGTGAATCCAAGCCGAGTTTGGAGCCCGCTGGTCCGGGTTCGCCAGCGACTTGATGCGATGACCTCAGTCTCGGCTTGGAGGGTTCAGGACGTGAAAACGGCTCGTATGCGCATGCGGACGGAGTCCGGGGGTTGATGAGGCCTAGCCTATACAAAAAAAGCTACCGGGCTGCTGTCTGGAGCCCCAATTTTTAGGGAGCACTCTCTGAGCCGTTATCCTGATGAGCGCCGAGCCCACACCCATGATGAGCTTGTTCTGCTTCTTGCTTTGGTCGACAAAATCCTGCGAAGGCTACGTCTCGCATGGATACACAGAAGCTCCGTGAATTTCGTCCGATTCGACTGTCCCTGGGCCCTTCGGCTTCACAGACTCGTCACAACATTTTTAAAGGAAACCTGCAAAGCAGGGTTGCACTGTTGCTACACGTGACTGCCGCCCTCTCTGTCACGCATGCATGTCTTACTATGCAGTTCGTGTTTTTCTGTGCACAGCTGTCCAGCAGTCTGATCTTGTTCGTGTGGTTCGAGTTGGGCTGCTGATCGGCAGCTTGTGCAGCCAGCTGTCTTGCTTTCCCATCCGCCCGCCCTGAAAGTGGCTGGAGTGGGACTGCTGTCCCCGGAGCCCGGAGGCTTCTATGCAATCGGATGCACATTGTCCCAACGTTTGAAAAGGCCACTTGTGTCAAGTGAGTGCGAAGTTGCAGAGAGATGTCAAGACTGCTGATGAGCATATACGGTTCTACCCTTGGCGATTCAGATTTCAGATAGCCGGGACCTCATACTTTTGCCCTTGGACAGTGACGATCCTTGGCAGAGATGCCGCTGTCGTGCGCTTCGGCAAACCTTGAAGGCTTCCATGCCGGGAAGTCGCAGGTCGCAGTCACAACAGTTGGCACAGCCCTAGTGGCCCTAGTGCAAAGTGCTGTAAGCCGCGAAGCATCTTCGCGGCATCATCCAGCGCACCCCCGAACCGAGGTCCGATTGTCAGGAGGCCTGGCAAACAGGCAAGGGTAGTCGGCTTTTCAAGTCAATAGCACCCGGGCTTGAAGGCTCGCAAGCTGCCCGTCTGCCAAAACACGCCGGAAGCTCCACTGCAAAGGGCACTGACCAAATCCTGCCCGAGTCCAGCAGTCGTTGCTTTGAGTAGATGCGGTGACGGAAGTTGGGAGCATCGCACTCTTCTATGATGCAACGGGCAAGTCACCAAATCTCAGCTCATGGCACTGGCCAGAAAGTTGCATCAAATCAAGCCAGCCGTAGAATCAGTTCGATTGCAGGGCACCTTGCCCGCTCGCGCCGTCCTGGCAGGTGCGAGGCAGCTGTAGCTGGATGAAGAACGATGCTGCGCAGGTGGAGGTTGTTGTTGTTCCAGAATAGGATTTCCATTCCTGTTCCCACCTACTTTGACAATGGCCAGAAGGGACCATAGATTAGAACCGTCCGAGAGAACAGAATCCTCCAAGCTTGACATCAATCCCGTCTAACCGAAGACACTTGAGAAACCAGCCGCTGCTAAGTGAATATTGATGTTGCTACCCGCGTGGATGTAGCTCTTGCTGTAACTGCTACTTTGCTGTAAAGTGTCTTGCTGCTATGCCCGCAAGTGTTCTCATCTTCAAATTGAAGACTTCCATACTTCTGGCGTTAGTGTCATCTTCTATTCAGTCAACATAATCACTGTCATGACTATTGCAAACAGTACGCTCCGTGCCTCCAGTCACAGCTATTGCTGACAATAGTTTCCTGATCGTATAGCAGTAGTCTGTGTACTGTGTACTAGTAGTCCTCGTCGTGGCATTAGCAGTAGCAGTAGCAGCAGCAGTAGTAGCAGCAGCAGCAGCAGTAGTGGCAGTGTGGCAGTATCTGTGGCAGGGGCAGTGGCAGTAGCAGTAGAGTGGCAGTTGCCGTGGCAGCGGTAGCAGCAGTTGCACCAGCGGCAGCAGCAGTAGCACGAGCGATAGAAGTAGCAGCGGCACGAGCAGGATCAGCAGCAGTAGGAGTAGGTGGGCGAAGTAGGACTAGGGAGGAGGAGAGTAGAAGGAGTAGGGGTACGGGAGTATGGTAGGAGGAGTAGGAGTAAGAGGAGGAGGAGGAGCAGGACTAGGCTTAGGAGGGCTAGCGCACTAGGAGCAGCAGCAGTAGCAGCAGTGGTGGTGATGAGGAAGAGGAGGGAGGAGGAGGAGGAGCAGGAGGAGCAACAGCTGCAGTCGCAGCAGCAGTAGTAGCAGCTGATTTTGTCGTTTGCGCAGAGTCTGCCTGTCCACACCCCTTAAACGGCCACATCCCTTCATTGCCCTTGCCCGGGCGAACACGATGGTGTTGTGAGCTCCGCTAACAGCAGGGCCGTGGTCAGCCGTGACCTGACAATGCCAACCATGATAATGACAATAACTGCACCAGGATTACCCATAATGTAAACTATTTGTTCGATGTTTCTAGCAATTGGCTTGTCATGAACGTGGCTACTGCAAATACCAACAACTAATCAACTATGACGAAAAAATACGACTGCTCTTGCTACACTCACCACGGGTACCATAGCATAAGGCATCGAATGTTCAAGGAGGCTCCAGTTTGCCGCGGATGTCGGACCGTCTCGAACCTGCATCGCGAAAGTGCAACCAATAATGACCGAAGTTCATGCGAACACTTCCCAAGACTGGGAACCAGCTTCGCAAGGCAAGTCCATCACCACAGAACCGCGCACACACATGACTGAGGTCAGCACCATGAGAATCATCTCCTTCGGAGGTTCTCAAACAGTAAGTTGGCATCTGCAGAGTCGACGTAGCACTGAGAGGTCTTCGGGAGGAGTGTCCAACGTGAAGCACCGTGGCAGCGTGTCACAAGAGCTGGCTTCATAGCATCAGTTTGTGCAGATAGATGGCTTATATGTAGACAACCCACGTCTCACATCTCCAAAGCCCGAAAGCCAAAGGTTTTAGCCAAGACACGATGAACTTGCAGCATTCCGCAGGCAGCTGCCTGGCAAAGGGCTCAAGGACTGAAGGCCCTCGGCGAAGTCAAGTCTCGAAAATTAAGCAAAGGGACCGTATGCCCGCACCCCTGCAGCTGCCCGCTTCCCAAAAGCCTTGAGATATCCCAGACAGCCTTCAAAATTAGGGCAACAATGAAGACTATTCTCGAGAAGCTCATATGGAGGTGTTTTCTCTCAGGACCTGATCTCGAGTAAGCATTGGTGGCACGTGGCCTTCTGAACCAGAGGAGCGACAAAACGCCACCCACACCTGCCAGGGGACAGCCAGGCTGCGCGTGTTGGGGATTGTCGGCGTCGCGACATGACTTGGGTAGAAGGGATTGTGGCTGCACTCATGTTACCCGGACACCCACAGCAAGTCTGAAATCTTGGGGCCCCGGCCCATGCTGCGCGAGAAGACATCAGAGATGCTGACACCGCAATACTTCAGCTCCTCGTAGTGTGACAGCCTGCTGACCTTGAGCCGACCCCAAAGCGGAGAGAAGACGCCCCGACGTCCTCGCCGCGATCATCAGAGATTGAGCTGATGAAGTTCGCGGGCTTCCTGCATGCGGCATGCAAGGCTGAGGTCCTGTGGCTCGGCAAACTTGATTCTCTGGGCCGTCTGTTGAGTGGAGAAGATGAAGCTCACCCTGCCTGACAAGCCCCAGCTTCTTGGCCCAGGTGTAGTCCACGGGTACCTCAGAGCAGAGCCCTTGTGCTCACTGCATGGCGACTCAAGTACAACGAAAAACACTTCAGGAACACGTCGGAACGCTCTTTGTCACGTCTTGATGCCTCTACATCCTGTCAGAATCGCATCTGAGGCCCCGGTCCTGGGGCGTTTCGCCTTCTGGCTCCTGGCAGGCTCGCTTAGATAAGCGAGCTGGATGGGGACTCTCGGGTTCGAGCATACTATAATATCTTATACCGTAGCATACCATAGAAACCATGATCATGGACGGCGACGACCATGCTAGACTAGAGTATACTATACAACTGCACGGTAGCGGGCTGTAGTAGAACATGTTCCCCCAACAACAACAGCACTAGGTTCGAGAGGTCGGGGCAGGAAGTTGTGGATCCTGCCGGCACATCCTGATGGTTCTTCCGACTACTGAACAGGAGCAAATCCTCCGAGGACGATTCTGGCAACGTGAATTGCAGCCTTCGCTGTTGGGAGATGCTTGCAGAGGTCATGCAATCACATGGAGTAGCTGGGCCAATGCCTCCACAATCTCACCCTCCTCGACCATCTTCGTGTACCTCACTCCGCTGTGGCTTGAGATATTCTCGACTCGAGTATCTAGAAATAGCCGGCTTACTTCGAGCGCGTCATGCAATTCACCCCCCACTCTCCGCAGTAGGCTGCCTGCCGGTTGCTAGGCACCCTGCAAGTTGCTGATCGTCTCTGGTAGCTTGTCGAAGGAGTCTGGCACAATAATCCCGGCTTCCTGTCACGCACATGCCCTCTCTGTCGCACGTTGTCTGACAAGCTCCAGAAAAACCGAGACCTTCATCGCTGCGTTTTTGGCCATCGCGGTTTCCGTCTGGCCCCTGGCCTGTCAAGGCATGCACTGGCATCGCAGGTTTGCCTTGGCATCTGAGCTGCAGCATCCTGCTTAAGACTTCATGACACTTCATGACTTCTGGGTTTGCAGATTTGGCCTGGGCACCAGCATGGCCGAACTGCACCTGGTACGACGGTTTTTGCTCCATCCAAACGCTCAAACTGTTGTCAATCGAAGAAGCATGTTTCCCTTACGCGCTGAACTGAATGACCCAGCTGGACTTCGGAGAACATAGGCCTTAGGCTTCTGGTGTGCTCTTCGGGGTTCTTCACCGCAAGACTCTCAAAGCGGCTCTGGCCCCTTACGAACCCAGAGTAACTCTTGTACCTGTTGTTGCAGCGGACCTCCGTGGCAAAGCACGAGGCACAGGTGCCAACGCACCAGGCGATAACTGCAGAGGGGCATCAGATGGTGCGAGCTTGGGGATGCAGTGCATTTCAGATCTTGCCGAAGGGACTACACACCTTCGCGACAACCTTGCACTACCTTTGAACTATTGATGCACGAGGTTTTCACTGCTACAGTTGCAGTAAACGGGTGTACCAAGCCGGAGGTCAGCTTCTTTGCGGCAAGCAGAACGGATCGGCTCGCTCAAATCTCGCTGCTGATTCAAACGGCACCCTCACCCCCTCCCCTGCAGGTGCCTGGCTTGTCAATGCGCCCAGACTTCACGGCCTTGATCACATCGTACTCATCCTGGCCACCCACCTTGAGTCAAAGCTCGGGGAGGCTCCTTTCTGCGAGCCTCTCGAACGCCACTTCTGCGGACATGCCCGGTCTTGGAGCAGGCTGTGCCAGACCGAATCCCCTCTACGCCCCCTCCGGACTCTGCGTCGGCCCGGTCACCACCCATACAGAACCTGATGTCAGAAAAAGTATGCTATACTACTACTATACACGAAGGAACCCACCTCGCCCAGGAGCAGGAGGATCTTTGCTCCAGGCGCATCCTTCATCAGCACTTTGAGAGAGGTGCAAGAAAGGTCCCGACACACCGTCGCTACGCTCCTGGTAGCGCAGGAGGTGATCGATGAAGCGGCTGCCAGGATACCTGGTAGAATCTCATGGAAAACGAACGGGGCATCAAAAGCTTATGAGTAGTGCTGCTCTGGAACACGAGTGTACCAGCACCAGTCACGGTTTGCAGCCTTTGCAGAACCAGGCGCACCGGTCCCCACCAATCGCCACACCCTCGTACACGCCGTTGGAGTTGCGGCAAATGATGTTGTTCTGGCCGGAAGCTAGTCTGACATGCGTCTTACGTGCTCGAACAGCAGCTTTCGCTTCTACGCTGCTGCAGTTGCCGAAATCCCAACATCGGTGATGATTCCGCCATCTCCTAGCGCACCTTTGTGCTGCTCGGAGAGCTGTGTCTCTCTGAATAGCAGCACTCTACTCCAAGCTTCGCAACCCTGCTCAAGAGAAGGCAAGAGGCCAACTCGTTCGACATTCCGCCGGACTTTGACACGTAGGCGACCTCTGGTCCACACAAGGGGAGAAGTGCTGAAAAAGCAGATCCACTGGGACGGCATTGGCCCTTCACTTGCGAGCGGGCCACAGACCCTGGACGGTAGAGCCGGGACATGACGATGTTGTCCAACATTCCACCTCAGCTCGTCTCAGCTCGAGCATTCTGGAGCTTTCTGGATCCACAGAGGAAAGAGCATGCATCTCTGGCCGGGGCAGGCAGCGCCATCGGGGTCAAAACGATGTGAAAAAGCCTATTCCTAACCTGCTATAGAGTAACATCCACGTCCGTCTCTCAGCGGCCTGTGTTGCCGATGCGGATGCAGCCGGGCCTGCGATCCGTCAACAGTCAACAGGATCTTTGATGCAAAGCATTCAGACCAAAGGGCCAGTTGCACCATGATGCGGTATTGCAGAGATGCGGTATTGGTCAGATCTCTGGGCTCTCGGCTTGATTCCACCTACCGTGGCCGGCCCGATCATGCCAATCTCGCGCATCTCGGCTTCCTGGAAGCTTGTTCCAAACTCCATAAAAACCCCCGGCCGGGGTTCGAGGAAGAGGAACTAAAAAAACAGAGAATCTCAGGAGGCTTGGCTCCCCCCCCCCATCTCGCCTGCCTTGATCAGCAGGCGGGTCTGCTGTTCTGGAACGCCCTGGAGAGGCGAGAAAGAAGCAAAGATTAAGAAAAAGGTTTGGCGCCGAGCGCTCTCTCTCTCTCTCGATCGATCGAGCTGGACTCTGAAGCACAGCTGCCGATGTCGAAGAGAGAAGACAGAATCCGCCGCGAGAGAAACGATACCAGAGCTCTCTAGTACCGAATGACTGCTGATCTCGTCTGCACACTCTTCGACATGTTGCGCCACAGCTGTGCTTCCCAGATCTCCAAAGAGGCTGTATGCATGGAAATCCTGCCTCTGCGATGATGGCGACCTGGGTATAATTGTAAGGGCCACGGCACGAACCAAAAGATCTTGCCGTTGCCGAGCTCCACTTCTTGGGATCTGGCCGTCTTCATCTGCGGATACTGCATGGCTTCCTCGAGTTGGATTCGATCCCAGGAGCAGTGGAGGGCCCGGGGCGGGGATTGAGGTCGGCTCAGGCCTTGGATTTTGAATCCTTCGCTTGGGCAGTGGCCAAGACACTCTGCAGTCTTAGATAGCCTGGATGGAAATTGGAATTCTGCAGCCAGTATCCTTTCGAGCGGGATTCGCCACACGAGCGAAAACCAAATAATCTACTATTCACTCCAACCGGGATATCAAATTCTTCAAAACTTGAAATGTTGACGTGTAATGATGTGCATACATGAGTTGCTGCTCGAAAAAGAAGCCCGTCATCCTGGACACATCTAGATCTCGTCCGACGAAGCCGACTAAGCCAAAGGCCATAGTAGTCTCATAGACCGAGCGGAAGGATGCGAAGTTGATGAACCTGGGGCCCCCAACACCAACCGCTCTGAAAAACGCGTGAAACTACGCATTTCTGTGCCTTTTGGCCACCGCTCCAAGGCCGGTACGTGACGGCATCTGTGTGCTTCTGGCAAGCCTCCTTGGTGGTGGTGTAGACCGGGAGAAGGATCTCCTGGGAGAGCTTCGAATATATTATATATAAATTATTACTGTATATTATATGTTATATATTACATATGACATGTTATTGTATATTATTATATATTAGTTCGGCAGCTCAACTTCTCAGCATTCTCGGTCCTCGGTACCCCAGTAGAACTTCACATAGTGGTTGCCGCTGAACGGAAATACCTGCCCACGTACGCAGTGTCACACTCAGCGCTCAAGATCGTAAGGACCGCAAGGGATCCTCTCCGGTTTGCTTCGTGAGTTCCAAGATGTTCCAAGCCCTAAGCCTCATAATTTGCGGGGTTTTTTTCATGCGGAAAGCCCCCTTTGTTGCTGCATGATCGTCGAGCTTTGCAGATGAGAGCCCCTGAAGCTTCCTGGGTGTTGGCAATCTCGGAGGGGGGACCATGGCACAAACGGAAGGCGTCTTCCTCTTGCACATGAAGTCGAAGTCGAGCATGCCCTGCAACATGCAGGCAACGCGGCGTAGTGAACTTGACCAAAGACGGAAGCAGCAGCAGCTGCACGAGGATGACATGCAATTGTTTTGGCACTGATGTCCATGTCGCTGGCCTGCACTGCTCGGTTCTGCATGCCGTACACGATGGCCCTGCGCTCAGAAACGAAAGCAGCATTGCTCGGCTCAGTTCTCAGTCTTGGCGCCTGGTTGCCGGAGTGGCAGTGACAATGGTATGCCTCTCACCTGTGCACTTGCCGGCTTAACACTGACATAGCCATGGGCCCCTGGGCACAAGCGGCACCAGCAAAGCACCAGCAAAACACCAGGGCAGCACCGAGCACCTTGGGGAGCAGCCTTCTGCGCCTTCTTTGCTCCATTCGTCGCCTTGACCTCGCAGTTGCGCTGAGCTCAGAACTTTAAGGCGTTGCCCTCCTCCGGAAAGAAGAAGCGTTGCGTATGCAACCCCTCACAGAGACTCAGCAAAAACGAAGCACGACTCTTCTCCTGGGCCCTGTTCCCGTGGCTTCAGAGAAGCTCTTTTTTGCAGATGCTCTGTATACTCAGTATTCTCGTGTCCACTTCTCTGCACAGAAACCGAATCCGGGCTGGCCTTAATCATCTCTCGCTTGGGCGGGGGTGCGGAGCCTGCGCTGAGGTCCGGCCTGGGACTTGCCACGCTCCCCATGCTCGCAATGGGCATCGAAAACCGCTTCCAGAGCCCCAAAGCTGCCGGCTCGGGCAGCACATCGGTGAGGCCCAGGGCCATTGGAACCACCGCCTCGGAGATCGACGCGAAGATACGCGAAGCAGCGAAACCAAGCAGCACACTCTGCGACATTCTGCGACAGCAGCCGAGTGACGGTGATGTGCGTCTCGGGGCCATAGACCTAAAGCCAGATCTCTAAACCCTTCTCTGCGCGCTCAGATGAATCTCAAGAACAGCCCTTCTTTTCCTTCTCAGCATTGGCCGAAACCGGCGAGCTTCTGCACATTAGCCAGTGAGACTGCTGCGCTATGTGTGAAGATGCTTTCGCATCTCCTGTTGATCTGCGACTTCTTTGTCGACCTCTGCGATGGCCTTGTCATAGATCTCGGCGATGTGCTCACCGTCCAGCATCAATACCAGGTAACGTTCCGCCCGTCACCTGTCGCAAGAACGCCAGCTTCACCTCCAGCTTCCCCTCCTCTGCCGAAAGGCGGCTTGGAGGCCGAGCCGACCATGCTGCTGGACCTGTTGAATGGAGATGGCCCGGTGACGGTGCCGTTCAGGCATCTGGAAATCGCGGCTGCTGGGGCACAGCCCCCGCTCGTGGCTTCCTGACCAGAAGCCTAGAGCACTCAACTGACTACAGAATGGAGTAGAGCTAGAGTCACGGCCTCGTTGCCACAAGCCAAGATCTAAAGGCAGTCGGACACGGCGAGGAGTAGGTTCTTGATCGCCAAGAGATGGGGATCCACACTTCCCCAGCCGTCCCAGTTCAGCCACGTGCGCCACACAAAGAAGGGCAGCAGGAATCGATCAGCACCGCACGGCGCTGCATGGCGACGGGCATTTCGTCCTCATTCGCGGCAGCAAGGTAGGACATCCGGAGCCATCCTTCGCACTGACGGTGGGAGAAGGGGAGCCTGTCTTAAACCTGGGTAGAGGAACAGTGCTCACAATATCAATGGCAATGATACCGACGGTAACTGTAGAGACACGCATATAAACACAACGGACAAGGATTCCACTGATGAAGTAACAGACGTGAGAATGACGATGATAGTAAGCGATAGCGGCGGTGGCGGTGGTGCTGCTGCTGCTGCTGCTGCTGCTGCTGCTGCTGCTGGTGCTGGTGCTGGTGCTGGTGCTGGTGCTGGTGCCGGTGCCGGTGCTGGTGCTGGTGCTGGTGCTGTGTGCAAGCGTGGCCTCAGGGTCTGGGTGCAAACGGACGGGTCTAGAGTTAAGTTCGTTGTGACACAAGGAGACAATGTCTCACACGCAAAAGAAGTCGCAACATCCCGAACTACCGGCGCTACAGTCCACTCCTGCATAACCTGCGCATACCGGCCAGTACTAGAAAAGCCGTCCCGGCAAATGGCCTCGTTGCTCTCGGATGTCTCGTTGCTTTTTCCGGGTCATACTGTAGCCGTGTAGCCACCCGTGACATGCCGGTAAGCATCCGGCTCCGGCATAAAACAGCATTGCAAGTCACGCAGATGGAAATCCGCCAGCCAAAGAAGAGCCACGTTGTGCTCACAACGGCTGGTGGCAAGGGCTTCAGCTTCACCGGCACAGGCACTCCTTTAACTCTACATCCTTCTGCTCGGATTCCTGTTGGGATTCCGGACCGACTTAGCACATCAGTGTATGAAACGATTTTGCCATGTCAGGCATCTCACAGACTGAAAACTGTTGGGCTCCCCACTTTTACTCCCAAGCCCAGCTTGTCGCTGGCGACTTTCAGCTTCTTCAGGCCCTCATCACGCAACAGCTCGTACAGAAAAGCAGCATGGAGTGTTGAGAGCACCTCCAGATAGTTCGGGCCGGCTCTGCGACACCAGATGTGGATCTTGTGTTCCTCGGGACTTCCATCACTTCAATCAGATGCATGCGAATCAGATGTCGCAACAAGCGCTGAGGGGATCAGCATGCCTCTTCTCAAGGACAATGACAGGCACTTCACGGCTTCGCTTTTTGCCACAAACTCAATTGACGTGTGCGAGCCTTGATCTGATCCGCAAACATCTGAAGAGCCTTGATCAAGCCTGTGAAAGTAGCCTTGGCATGGGGGGGAAACTCCGCACTTTGCACTTTGCGGAACTGCGAAGTCTGACCAGCTGTCCAGAAGCTTATCTAGAGTCTAAGCAGTCTAGAGGTTTGCACCAATGCTCTGAGATCCGCGCCGCGACGTCAGTGAAGTTTGCGATACCTCGAACGCACTCAGGTTGCAAAGGAGCAAATGTTCTGAGTGGCATGGGTCCATGTCGCGAACTAGTCGGGGAGATGGAGAGGAGATCGAAGTTTCTCGGAACTCCAAGCCCCTCCCAACCACCCCTGGCCTCCCCCAATGATCAGGAACTTGCCCTCTGGGTGCTTGTAGCGGCACATCAGGGAAAGGATCGTCTTGGCATACGTGAAGGTCTCCTTCTTCAGTGACACTGGAAGAGGCAGGTCAGTGAAAGATGGACGAGAATGAGGACGAGGACGCTGCTGATGATGATGACGGTTATTGATTATGACTATGATGACGACGATGGCGATGGCGATGGTGATGCTGAACAATATGATGATGAAGCGCCAGAATCGGCCAGAAGTGGTCAAAGGCTGTGCAGATGCTGCCTATCTAGGAGCTCTGAAGCGTGAACAAGACCTTCCGGACAACCCGCTGCCTCTGTGGTGGGAGCTCCAGAATACTCGCCATAATTGGCCAGCTCCTTTCCCCAGCCGTAGTCCTGGCTAAACTTCGTCAAAGTCGAGACTGCACGGCACAAAAGGCCACACGAATAACATGATTGCAAGTGCAACATTGAGCGCCGGGAGGGGGGAGTCTGTGCTGGGGTGTCGGTGTAGGGCTGCTTTTTTGACAACAATTCGAGCGAGTTCAGCTCCCGGGAGAGCCAGGTTGCGTGATATACTCAGGCGTGGGGGGCGTGACGCGGAGAGTACGCTCGAGAAGTCTCCAAGCTCGGTCTGCAACTCTACCAGACTCTACCATGGTCTTAGCTTGAGATCCCAAACCACTTGGACAAGCACGAAAATGTGTCGGCAAGCTGTGCGAGGGATGCCGCCACGGTGTCCGAGTACACAACCGATGCGCCACCACCAGCTACCATGGTCCAGACCTGAGTTCCACACTGTTCTCGGCCCGTGCAAGGAAGTGTCGGATCGTCGCTCACTGCTGAGTTTGCACAGAAACCAGCCGATCTCTGTGGAATCATGGAGTTCGTGGTGCTTCCGTCTTCGCATCTCAGGAAATGGCGCGGCCCTTGTCGTTGAGGATGGTCAGCTTCAGGGAAGCACCGGTCTTCCTTGCTGGAAGGCTCTGCAACGGCTCTTTTTGTTCGGCTCTTCGGCCCGCGCCCCTCGAAGGCTCAGCTGCCGGCCCGTCCAGCTCTCGAATGAGGGCCTCGCATCGCAGCATTGTCCGGAGGGCCAGCAGAAAAAGCCCCCCCTCCCCTCCCCGACCTCTTCAGGATAAGCAGCTCGACCAAAAGGAGATGGCCTGCGCAACATGCTGGCAGCGAGCTTTGGCTCTTCGAGCGGCAGATCCCAGTCTCTCTAGCAGGAAGGAACTTTGCATCAAGAGAGCCGAAGGTGGGCAGGAGCAAACAGGCCCAGCAGGACCAATCCAATTCGCCCCACTTCTGGGTGCACCTGGGCGATCGGCGGAGCATGCCCCAGGAAGCACAGAGGTTGGAGCCTCTGGATCTATTCGGCCGGTACGTCCCACCTACTAGACTAGTCCAAGTCCCCTCCTCTTTCTTTGTCTTGAACGTCTGCCCTTGGAGGCTTCGGACTCGAGGGAGGCTGCCAAACCTCGGCCGACGCTGAGCCTGCAACAAGAACGCGGCAGTCTCGTCGATCTTTGCGACGAGGTCCAGGGGCACTATCTGCCAAGCTGCAACACTGGACACACAAGCTGCACGCAAGGGTTGAAACAGAGTCCCAGAAAGGCAGAGACCAGTAAAGTAAGGGAACATTCCTGAAGATGCCATTGTCTCGTGTTTCCTGTGTAGTTGCAGCCGGCTGGCGTTGAAGCTTCTGGAGGATCGCTTTGGTGGCCATCCCCCCACGGTTCAGTTTCTGCTCTTCTGACGGGCAGGGTTTCTGCTATGTGCTCTTCTGGCTTCCTCCGAAGCTGTTCACTTTCACCAGTTCGTTGCCCGGATTCTGCTACGTCGGTTGTCACACTGGGCGGGCCTCAAAACTTGTGCACCCTGACCCTCGCCACCTTGTTGTTAGAGAGCAGGGCAATCGGATTGATCTCCAGGTATGCAAAGTGCAGGTCGCGGTAGAAGGCAAAAAGTGCCTCGTCATCCGTCGCACCGAGGGAAAACACAAGACCCCCAGACTGGCAAACCAAAACGGGCGCGGAGCTCGCAGCTCACAGACTAGGTCGGGCCTTGCCTTAACGAAGCGCGCGAGAGTTGCGCTCTTGCCCGGCTCCACCTGCCCAGACATCGAAACTCGCCGGGAAGAGGCCACGTGTCCAGATTCCCCACCTTGTCCAGGAGCTCAGAGCGAATCATGTCCTCGGAAACCTCCGGCTCAGAAAGAGTTGAGAGCTCAAGGATTCAGACACGTCCCTGAGAATCCACCCTCTCGGGCCTCGCAACCCGTTGGGATAGAGAGCCGGGAGGCCTCCAACGGCAAGGTGGTGGGCGTTTTGATGAAGGCAAAGAAAGCGGCACCTTTGCATCGACATCGCCGACGTCCACGCCTCCCTCATGGTAGAAGAATATCTCGTCCTCGCAACGGAAATCCGAAACCATAGAGGGCTCACCCCAAAATAACAGATGCGTCTTTTCAGAGCTCTTCCAAAGAAAGGTCATGAAGCTATCGAAACAAGCTGGAGCAGGGTCTCGCATGCTAGTCCGAGCCTGCTCATGTACATTTCAGCCGGGTCCTTATACCTGTGCGACTGCATGCAGACGTAGACCTCTGGCAAAGACACTGCAGCAGGCAAAGCGAGGTCTTCGTCAAGAGCAGATTACCTGTCGAGCCCAGACGGTCGAAACTTGGTCTCAGCCTCTGCGGAGTTAGCCTACGCATGCCAGGTGCTCTTCTCAGTCGCGGGCCTCCTCGGACTGCGCATGTGGGACAAAAGGCTCGATCCTCAGCTACGAGCGCTGAACCTAACTTCGAGCTCCCACCGCTTCTGCGAGCGCTCTGCTGCGGCAAAACAGTTCCAGCTGAGGCACAGGAAGTGCGTGAGCTGCCCTGTGATGCCACCCACGGTCGACTCCTTCGTCCATGAGGAATGTTGACTTTGAATGAAGTGTATGCCACCAGCAACAGCGGCAGCCAAAATGGTCTCTGCAGCTGCACCTACCACGCATCATGTGCCAGTTCAAGACCACTTATTTTGCTCACAGTCCTTGCACATCCGCTCCATGATCCAAGCCTGCGGGCTGTTGCGAGCCCTCCACGTGCGTCTTCGGCTCTCGATTCTGAGGTCATGGCGCATTCACCTATACCCCAAACCCCAAACCCTCCGTGAGCTCCCCAACACATGCCTTGATCTCATCGAAGGTCTTGTTCACCTTGAGCTGACTACTTGGCAAGACTCAACGGAGGCCCTACGTCGAGGGAGTATCAACATCGTTTCTGCCATGGTGCGTGTCAGTACTACTGGAGTTCTTACAGCAGCAGATGGCGCTGACCAAAATGATGATGCCAAGAACTATAGGTATGGTAATGATGATGACAGTCATGGTAGTTACAATAGTGAGAATATCAGTAGCGATAGTCGTCATCATGTCAAACATTGATGAACAAGGAAGTCCAATGCCTGCTGCTGGAGCACGACATAATACATCACGATGTAAGAAGGTCCGATCGCATCGCATGATATCCAACAACATCTGCCCGTCAACTTGGTTCTCGTTCTTGTTCAGCCTCGGCACCGCGATGAGGCCGGCTTTGCCTCGGCCTCCGATCATCTGGTCCGGCTTGGCCACGAGCTTCTCTGTCTTTAGCCAAGGGTTCCTTGGATTCGGGATGGCAGCACCCGCAGTTGCTCAGCGAGAAGGACGCGGCACGGTATGTACATGCATGCGTGCAAAGACAACGAATGGAGTGTTGTTGCCAAAATCAGTTTTTTGTCGACTGTAAATCGCTTCTATTTGCTATGCAAATTCTGGCATGTACGCATATAACCAAAAAGTTGTACACGCACCTGCTGACAAAGACTGGATGTGGGCTTCGGCCTGGCGGGTTTTGGGCCCGCGGTTTCTTAGACAGTCAAGCTCGAGGCTCTTCTCCAGGATCGTGTTCCAATCCTCGCCCTTGGAGCTATCGAGCACCTGATTTCAGGGCTGAGAGCCTCTTCAAGGCGCAGAGATCTGTCAAGAAGGCCACATCCAAGCCCGGCACGCCGGGAGTCACCAGACATCCAGCGTTATCGAGTCCAAAGGCATTGTTGGAGTACCTGGCGAGGCTCTCCTCCGCCCAAGTGAAAAAACCCCTCAAGGTCCGCGCAGCAGTATGCGCCCAGTTCGACTCAAAACCCAAGGCGTTTTGGAGCCTCCGGCCACTCGTCTAACCTATGGCAGTACGGCCTGGGTTCATAGACCCTCCCCGCTTACTCCGCGCAACCGGGTCTTGATGAAGCGATTGTATGTTCTTGCACCGGGAGCACTCTGGAAGCCACCGCTTCAGCAGCGCCTGGCAGCAAGTTGGGATCGGTTCGGCAGAGGAAGGCAATGAAAATGAAACTGATTCCGGCTCTCTAATTTCTGCGACTCTGCGACTAGGCATAAAACAAGCCCACTAACGATGCGACACATGGATTACTTTTTTGTAAATCATCAACTGGCGCCAGCAATGTGGTCACCATCAGTAATGATATTGGAAAACTCAAATTGATAGGTTATACCACTGATAGCTTTCATGCTCAGGATACATCACAACAGATTATTGAATATGAGCAATGCGGTAAGATGCAATGATTTAGGTATAGGAGCTAATGCGGGTGTAAATGCTTTAAACGTATCAGGTCGTACTTCGATTGTTGGATCAACAGTGAGTTCTAATCATGCTACAACTTATAATGATTATATATTCTTATATAAAAAAGTAAAACAAAAAGAAGAGCAGACGCGTTTGATTCGGCAAATGTAATATCAAACGAGGAAATAAACTTTTCATTGCAAACTGACAGAGCAACTGATCCGACAACAGGGACTATATGTTCGCAGATAAATGATACTGGGAGAATAACATTAAACAGATTAGTAACTAATGATTTACCTTTACATAGCATTGGTAATATTGTTGGTGAAGCAGATGTTTTTTGGTTTGGGGAAAATTAAATTACGAAACAGTGGTGAAATCAGAGAAGTTTTAGGCACTCAATATAAAATGCATGTAAAAAACGGCGATAGTCTAAGTGAGTTAAATCTAGTAATGGGCTTAGAAAGCAACACACCGGAAATTCAATTAACTATTCAAATTAGAGACAGATGTAGAAGAAATGAGAAAAGACGTTGATGAAATTAAAGAGCATAACCAATTAAATAGTATGGGTTAATATTTAACATTAACACGTAATTTAATTTGACAGTTTGTATAGTCTGTCGCACCCCGCCCAGGATACAGCAGGACAGTGTGAAACCCGTGAAGAATTCAACAAGAAGGACACGCATAAAAGGAAGTATGCGACAACCGTCATTGCCCCATCATAAGCATGGGCTGATTAGTTTGTTGAATATTGTTCATAACTCTTCTTCTTATGAAAAACTCTATAATTAAACAATACATGCCTAAAATTGAAGAAAATATTGCGTTAGATTTTCGCGACACCAACTTCCTTGCCATGGCTGGGCTTATGGCATATGGAGAGCCCCACTAGTCACAACCCCATGAAAACCGTTATTCAAATGCATATATGAAGTGTAGACAGACTTGTATGGAGTGTTTGAGAAAAGAATGAAGCCATTGAAAGGGCTAGTGACTTTTAATAGCACGATGGAATCGATTAAGTGCACTAGGTGTCATAGGGAGAATTCGGGTATAATCAAATGGGACAACCTTTCCACAATTGCATCAAGTGCAGACAGAAAAGAAAGGAATACAAGGAAACCGAGCCTATAGTCGAGCAACTTCAACAAGAGATTGAGGAAGTGTTTGAACACGTTAAGCAACTGCTAGTGAATAATCAGACTTTGGATATGTATTTTTAGCTTATGTGGAAAGAGAATGGACAGAGTATTGATCGAAATTCCAATTGAAGATAACAAACGAGAGACGAACAAACTGAATTAAATTTGATCTATCCCATTGTTATGATGTAAAGATAATATAAGGAGTTATACATCATATTCTATATTAGAGTAGGAACATGATAGGAGAATCCGTAAGAAAAGCGTGTTACACCCTTAACCCTAAACGCTCAACCAAAATTCCATAAGATCCCCCTTGCCCAGTTTGAGCTACAAGTGTGTCCCCTAGGTAGATACAGGTATCGGTATTGGGAATAAGATAGTTTTCCTAAGATCGGTCTAGGGGTTGGACTGGTAGGTGTGTCTAGGGGTTGGACTGGTAGGTGAGTCTAAGACTCTAAGACCGGATCTTGGGGTGGTGGGTAGGCGGTGCCATACACCCAAACTGGGCAAGGGGTCCTCTAACTCTTTGGCCGGTGGCATTCTACTCAGTCAACAGACTCGGCTGGCTAAGGCTTCAGGGGTACCTGCTACCAGCACCTCTCTGCTGTCCTTGCTGCAGGTTTTGCACAGCATTTGTCCCTGTAAAGCAGAAGGCCTTTCCGTCCTGCTCGCGGATGGATTTCACCGACATGACCTCCTCGATTGCAGCAAACCAGGCATGAGTAAGCTTCCTTTCGCGTGCGTCGTGCGTGCACGGAAGCTGCAGGGTAAAGGGCGGATGAACCTGAGGCTCGGATCGCGCGGGCGCCGCCGCCCGCTTGGATCTCCGAGCTAACAGCTGCAGGGAGCGGCGACATGTCAGCAGCACTAGAGTGGTACACTTCTGAAAATTGCGAGTCCAACTGGCACGATGCAGCTCACCTAGTCGTGCCTCGAATAAATCTTACGTACGCCTACGAGGCACAGCACTGCTGCCTCCGAGTCATCCCAACCCTCGGTATCCAACGAGCCACTTTCCGCGATCTCGCAGAGCTCTTTCATGCGCAACATTTGGCGTCGGCGCTCTGCTGCTGAACGAAGTCTGGGTCGTGGCCGGTCGAGTCCGGGCATGGCGCAGAAACACCACCACTGACATAAACCGAAGGCTTTGGAGTTCACACCCGGAAAGGGTGGTGCGGTAGTGTTTGTCTCATCGTACACAACTTGCAACCGGCCGTACCAAAGGCCGAGAGTATCAGAAATGGCCACGCTTGCAGCAGAGGCCAACAGCGAAAACCGCTGGACTTGAGCTCTTCAAGCCTCGCACGAACCAATACCACCGAAACCAAGCCACAGCGAGACCTCCAGTGCAAGTCTCGAACGAATGCTCACCAGTCTTCCCATCTCATCCCTGCAATGCTTCCGATGTGGATTGCACGTCAAGTCGTCGAACGTCATACTTCCTGTCTCTACCCGTACGATTGCACTGACAGTTCGACCCCAAGCTTGATTCCCCTACGGCCTTGAATTCGTGGACATTGGCTATTTCAAGAGATCATGTTCCGTCCGACTGCTTCCTGAAGTGGCAAGTGTTCACTTTGCCAGCAACCTCAGCTTTGAGGTGCCTTGTCCGTTGGTGGTCCGGCGAGAAAGCTGGGAATCAGGAACGCACTGGCTGTATCGCATCTCTGGCCAACACCACGAACTCCTCCGGTGTCCTCGCAACTTCGCTCCATTATTATATTTTGTACAGCTCCAGCAACACCCCTCCCAGCTGCTCTCCTTGGAAGCTTCTCTACCGGCGCGTTGTCCCCGGCTGTAACTGCGAAGAGGTCCTAACAGCACCAGCGGTTAAGCCGTCCTAAAGATCCTTTCTTCTGCAGGCAGCTCCTGCTGAGCTCTCCGGACCCCAGCCATTTTTCAAGCTTGCAGCGCTTCGTTCCCTAGTGCAGGCCTCACCGTAAGGAAACTCAAGCCAAGGCACCGTGTTCTGCTTGAAGCGGCATACCACATGGAAGCCAGCACCTCTCTACATCACAGTCCCAAACACCAAGCCCTTTCAAGCAATGGCCCAGACGGAAGAGCAGAACTTCCTCCACTTCCCCACTTCCGCCATGGCCTGTGAGGTCGCCTCGCAGGACGTCGAAGGCTCTCATCGGGCCAAGAAGCAGAGCCCCCAAGGGATCTGAAGTCTCCTTGGGGAAGCATCTTCTTGAAGCGAATCGCGCTGCGCTGCTTGCAAGAGAGCGGCTCGTATGAGCTGCAAAGAAGTGGAGAGGTTGGCCTCCAAAGGACACCAGAGCTTCCAGCTTGGCCCCTCATGGATCGGCTGCCCCAAAGGCTCGAAGCTCTCGCCACTCTCGCAGACACGAGTCTCGTCAGTCTCGGCTTCGATGTCGGCTCTCAGGCAGCGCTCCAGCCGGCGCAGGGCCGAAGTCTGCAACGACAGTGACGGTCCCCGTCGGCCCTGTGTTTGGGCCTGACTAAGGGAGCTGCGAAAGCGCTGCGCCCTCGAAACCGTGCCCAAGAAGTGTCCGGAAGGTTTGTAACCTCTTACAGGCTCAACGGGCCCCTGCTGGTCCTGGCCCTCGCCGCGGTGACGGTCGCAGCGAGGGCCGTGCCAGCCTGCTTTGCTAGAGCAGCGGTGGCAGCAGTGGCCTGCAAGCCAGGTGCAGAGGTACGGGCAGCCGTCGGAACTGCAGGGGAGCAAAGGCATCGTCGGCGCACCGGCAAAGAGCTTCAATTCCGAACAGAGGCGGCAGATGATTCTCTCGAGTGCATGGAAGTCCGCATCGTCGCTGAAGCGCCAGCCATCATGACTACCTTGGCACTTCAGCTGGTGCACATAGAGCTCCTGTACTTTGGATTTCTGTCCGGCCTCCTCGACTGAGCGTTGCATAAGGAGGGATTCCTGAGGTGCATCTGCAGCTTTCGTCACCACCTTCACTACCAGCAGCCGGAAGGGCAGCTGCGACTGCCTTACGAGTTCTTCGAAGAGCTCCAGCACAGCTGCATCCTGCAACTCTACTCGCCGCTCCAAGTTGAAAAGGAGGAAGAGCACGAAGTCGTCTTGCGAGATGCTGACAGGAGTTGCCGTCCAGCCCTTGAGCAAATGCTGGAGGGAGTGCACGCAAGACTCAAGGAACTCGTAGTCGGCAGGGATCATTGGATTGTGGTGATTGAAGATCACATCTCGATTCAACATGGGTGAATACACGGTGTGGCCCGCCTTCTTGCACCTGCAAAACGCCGGCTTCGTGCAAGCTGCATTGCTGTCTTGCTCTACCCTTGTACAACCTTTTCGACTATTGCTGGTGGGACATGGGCTCAAACCACCTCAGCTCGGCACGCGGTTGCAACGTAGCGCGACTGATCAAGGAAGGCTGCAAAACCGTCCTCAAGGTCATTCAAGAGTGCGGGTCTGCAGAACTTCGCTGTGCTCAAACATCATGCCATGAAAGCTGGCCCCTGGCCGACGTCCTTGAGGCAGTGGGTGACCATCTCAGGCGCGGAAAACACCCAGTCAAAAGGTCCCGGCCATCGCCTGAAGCCCAGGTGCTCCATGGCCTCTGTTCAGGGAACCAACCCGCCGCCCACGCCTCAAAGATTTTGGAAGCGACCTGCGCCGTCATGCAAAGGCTGCCGAGGGAGACCACATGCCGCGCAGCGCCGCGGCGTCCGAGAGAGGCCGGAGCCGCCTCCACGGCCTTCTCCTCTTGGAGCAGCTTTGCCACCAGGCGAGAGACCGTGGCGCACCTGCAAAAAAATTTGCTCTCCGAGCCTCCGAGCCTCCGAGTGTTTCCCTCTGCTTCCCTCGCTGAGGAGCTCGAACATGGTCGCGGCACCCAGCGCCGGCCAGCGTCTCTGCGGCCACTGCAGGCTCAGGCTTCTCCTAGATTCTTGGAAGCTCTAAACTGGCAAACTACACGGGCAAGACGCCCCCCCCCCACCCCCCCCAGGCTCCCAAGTGCAACGGCGAAGGCCGCAGCCATGGATGAGGTCAGACCCAGGTGCCGCCACTCCTCTCCTGCCGCAAATCATTGGGGGTGTAGGTCTGCCAGGGCTTTCTGGGTCTGCGATGCAAGGCGGGGTGCCTCTGTCGCTCTCCCCCGTTTTCTGATGCATGACACCCGGGCACGTGCCCTCGATCAGCTCCTGCAGATCGGGGACATGATCGAGGCAGGAGCAAATCTCAGAACTACCAGAAGCATGCTACAGTAGGATCACGTCCCAGCACATATTTCTGTGCACTGTGCACTGAAGCTATTGACTTACGTTGCGACGTGTTGTAGCGAGATCGGAACCCATCCTCAATGACCTGCAACACGAGGATTCGCAAAGCGTCGGCAGTAGGCATACTTGCTGCGCACACCTTGCAGGTCACCACAGCAAATGCACAACAAGACAAGAACCTCAGAAGGTGGATTTCGAAACGCTTTCGATTGCTGCTAAAACCATACGAAAGACACCTGCAGCCGAAAAGCTTCCGGCAGCTTTAACGGCTGATCTTTCCCTTTGTCCTCTCCAGGGCAAAGGAAGGCTTGGATCTTCTGTGTATTTGTGTACTTGACGAGACAATGCGAAGCATGGAGAAGCTTGGAGCGTTGGTCGTTGGGCCGCTGACATCCGGCACATCTTTATGTTGCCGACCCGTCATCACCCCTGTCTGCTGATCCCCGCATGTTTCTGGATTTCTTGCTCGGCTCCTTACCCATGAGACGCTTACGCACTTACACGGGCCGTTTCGATGTCTTGCAGCTGTGGTCATGTCAAGCGCCGGAAATGGGCAGGAGTGGCACCCCACCCGGCCAAACGACAAAATTATCACGCAAGCACATGCATGACTCAGACGGAGGGGACAGAACGAATCGAAGGCCACTTAGTGCCAAAAGCTCTGACAACTTCCAAGCCACAGGACAGTCCGCCTGAAGTTCCTCAAGCGACTGATTCACAAGGCGACAGCCATCACACATCTTACCGCGAGTTGCTCGGACTCAGGTCAGTCAACGCGTCCTGCAGTAGCTCACTCTGGAGTTGCCAAGGATCGGGCAAACGCTTTCGCTCCAGCTTTCCTGCAAACCGGACAAGAAGAAACATCGTGCTGGGCCGAAAGTGCACATCAAGGCCGAGACACCATTCAGAGTCACGGGCAGCTTGTCCAAGGCGACTGTCTTCTGCGGCCACCTTGCGTTGCTCTTTCTTGCTGCAGCCGCGACTGCACTGCTCCGGTGTAGATCCGATGAGGCACATATACTCCGGAAGATGTTCCCGAAGATGGCTATGAAGCCGGCCTCGCCCGTCCTGACCTCCGCAGACTAAGATCTCTGACTGCTTCCCGTGGCATTTCGGGAATCAACAGTTACTCAATGATCTTTCGCGGGGAGGGCCTAACCCTTCCGTTACAGTCACTTAGTGACTTAGAGCTAGCACACGGGAGCCTTCGCCTTCCCGCCAGACCACGTAAGCGACAAGGACGACTTGGTCGAGCCTGTTCCGCCTGGCACGCTCTTCGAAATTGAAAGCCCGAAAACCTGACGTGGGTTGGTAAGCTCAACAAAACACAGCATGGCCCTGTCCTCACATCACAGGCGCCGAACTCGACTTCAGGGCAGCCGCGCAGAGCAGCATCGACTTCGCCTCGCCAGACATCTGCTCTCTCATCATATACTTGCCCTGCTCAGGCAGCTTCAGAAACCTGTGAATGAAACTCCATGTCATCACCATCCAAGCTTTATCCATGCACTTTCTGCGGCCGCGTCGCACAGCTCCAAGCGAAAGCCGTTGACCTTGACCTGTTCGTCTATCCTCGCCCAGAAGAAGGCATGGGCTAGAGCAGCACTGTGGCTGTTGCTTCGAAGCATCATCTTCCCGCTAAACCCTAATCACCATTGAAACCCTAACCCCTATACTAGAACACATAAACCCTAAACCCTAAAGCCCTTCATCAGCACTTCCAGGCCTGCCCAGGCAGAAGGTCTTCCCGCTGGCGTCCCTGCGTCCCAAGTCTCCTGTGTAAGGCAAGGAGGAGTTTCGGGGCCCTCATCTTCATGCCTTGGTCCATGCATATGCTAGCAGCTAGCATGCGCAGAACCGCCCAAAGAGACGGCAGTGCTTGAGCTCCTGTGCGGAACTCCTTGCCGCCGCAGAGAGCCGGTGTAAAGCGCTCGAGGGTCAAGTGATCCCTCTTCCAATACCTCGGGCAACTTCGGAGACCGCAAGATTTGTAGGGACCGGGGCGAAATCCGCGACGATGACTGCGGTGACAACGAAGCAGACGACGAGTCGAGAACCGTACCGTCACGCGTCCCGACACTAAGCAGAGCCGAGGACTCCTGAAAACGGGACCCACACAAAGCCCGCCAAGTCAAGCCAGGCAGCCCCAGGCTCACACCAGCACCTCCTGGCAGCGCTCGATCCCACGGATAAAGCCAAACCTTTGACGCCGGCCATCCCACCTATGATGATTTCTCCGGACTCGAACTTCTCGGCTCGATCGGCTCGATCGGCTCGCTCGCCTCCTTCCTTGAAGGCATCGGCTCTCAGCAGAAGAGAACTCTGACAGGCAGCAAAGCAGCGTAAGGGAGCCCTCGGCCGACATGCAGACAAGGGTCGCTGGACAGCCGCAGGGTCGTTTCGCGGATGGGAGGCCCGATAGGGACCTGCAGTGGATTCAACGCTGCGTCCTGCCCGAAAATGTCAGGGAATTGATTAGAAACGACCCACCAGGGCACCGAAGCACCAGCGGCAAGCGCGTCGACATGCTGCGCCGTCGACCAAATTGTGGTTTCCGTCGGACCATACCTGAGGCGAGACTCAAAGCTTTCCCCGACCGGAAAAAACGCACTGTAGTAGACCAGGAGAGGCACACGTTGTGGAGGTAGACATCGGTGCCGAACTCGCTGAGCCACGGAGGGAAGGGCTCGCCGCCGCAGAGAAGCACTGATCCTGCAGGAGGAGCCCAGCCACAGGACCTGCCGCCGGAAAGGATGCAACACGTGCCTCTTCTTGAACATGCCACACTGCACACTTGTACAGCTCAACCTATAGAACCGCGTTGTGCTTAGAGACTTTTCAGGGCACACCCTCCTCCTTGCTGCATTCCTCCATCCCTCGAATGTAGTCTTCCAACAGCCTGCATCTCCCTTGCCCTACCAAGCTTCCTTCGTCTTAAGTCTTCCGAAGCGTTCCTTTCTTCACCACGCTTCCCCAGCACCTGAGGAGGTTGTAGCTGCTGGGCGTGGCCTGGAAAGCCAGCCTGCAACAGGCACCACAGAGTTCTGTGTCCGTCCGCCACCATGGAGCATGTGACTCTATGAAGATAGTCATGCCGCGGCCTGGGATACTTGGCAAGACGGGCTTTCAGCTCGGGCCCCTGTTTGGAGATCTCCGTTTCCACAACATCCAGCCTGTCGCATCCCACATGCCTAAGACCCTGGCTGTAATAAGTCTCCGTTAATCCTACCAAATGCACCCAGGCCACATGCAGTTGCACATCAGGGGAAGGATCAGCTCAAGAAGGGCGATATCAAAGCAGAAAGTCGTCACGGCCACCCAAACGAAGCTTTCGAGTCGGGAGCCAAGAAGCTCCAAAAAGAAGGAGAGCAAGTTATGCCTCGGCTGGAGCCTTACTTCCCTCACTATGAAACTGGCTTTACTCCGCTTCACTCTGCTTTGCACACTCGCCTTCCTCTCTTCAAGCGCGGGTACAAGTTGGCCCGTGAGACCACCACGCCCTTGGGCTGGCCTGTGCTGCCACTTGTGTAGATGGCATATGCCACTCCGTCTGGGATATCTTCACCTCGCGGTCTCTGTGGCTGCGTGCCAGTCTGACGCACCTGCCCTTGTCGATCCAGCAGGAGGAAGTGACGGCAAAAGCTGAGGAGGTGGGAATGTTGCTGGACTGCTGCCTCATCCAGCAAAAGAGCCCCTGGCCCAGAGTCGTCCAGGATGAAGCCTAGCCGCTTTGCTGGAAATGCCGGGTCCAGGCAAATGAAAGCCTTTTTGCTGAAGAGGCAAGCGAGCAAGGACACCACCAGAGCGAAGCTCCGGTGAACGCAAATCCCCACAAATCCACAGATCCTGTCCTCCAAGTCCCCAAGGCGCATTGAGAGCTCCGCCACACGTTCTTCGAGCTCTGCGAAGCTTAGGAACTCCGCGCAATGCAGCACCGCCGGTCTCTCGTCTCTGCGGTCCAGCACGAGCCGTAGAAGCTGTGTCAGGCCGTCCTCCTCGTCCTCCCCTTCCATGCAGAGAAAGCAGAGTCCCGAGCCTGTTGGGCACTGCTTGGCATGATTGACCGGTCTAAGGAAGACACAGCCGCCGCACATGCCTGCGAGCCCAAGTACGTGCTGGATCGCTCCAGGCGACGATCAGGTACTTACCTTAATTTACCTCCGCCACAAGCTCGAGACCTGTCAAAACGTGTCAAAATGTCTGGCTTGGTTCCTGAAGTTCTGTCGGCTGCGTGAGGGGGGGGGGGGGGGGGCNNCAGGGGCTCGGCACCGATGCTGCGCGCGGGAGTGTAGGCAGAAAGCCTCAGCTCTGCAACCAAGACTACTAAGGCTTTCCCTTCTGCGTCGCTCTTCTAGGTGGTCTAGATAAACAAACGGACAGCGGGTACATTGTCACAAGATGTGAACTGCTCAATTTGCAGGAGAGCAAACATGGTGCATCGGAGGGCCATGCATCACTAAACCCGGATGGCACGATGTCCACGTGAATCGTAGATCCCGCAATGAGACGGCGCACCCCAAATCCAAGGCTAGAGAGAGCTGAAACCGAGCCGTGGAAGAGTCTTTTGCTCAGGGCCAGGCTTGACTCGGGAGGAGGTAACGCTGGGCTTCTTCCCCTGAAGCGGGTGCTTTTGTCCCGAGCTGCCCTTCCCAGGAGGAGGAGGAGGATGGCGATGGCGATGANNGGTGATGACGATGGTGATGGTGGTGACGAATATGCAAGTAATAAGAGTGATAAGAATGATGAAGAAGAGGTTGAGGAAGTGATGAGAGTGACGTTGAAGCGATGAAGGTGAGGAAAGTGGTGGTGGTGGTGGTGGTGGTGGTGCTGGTGGTGGTGGTGGTGGTACTGGTGGTACTGGTACTGGTGGTACTGGTGGTACTGGTGGTACTGGTGGTACTGGTGGTGGTGGTGGTGGTGGTGGTGG